TGCAGATACGTTTGGCTCAGGAGGAGCGCCTTGCCTCAGGCGCTTGCTTACAGTAAATGCACAGAATTGACAGAAAATCTTGTCTCTGTACACCCGAAGCGTGCACATCTGTGCAGTTGTTCCACATCTGGTCCCAGATGCTGTAAATGCCCCTTTTTAGCCCGTCTCAGCCCTTAGCAATACAAATCCTTCCTTGTCTCAGCCACGCTGCCTTGGTGCGGCTCTGTTCACAGTTTGGCCTCCTGCTGTCACCGGGAAGGGACCGGCCACCTCTTCTGGCTGACCGGCCCGGGCTGGCCGCTTGCGCTAGCCATGGGTCTTCTCTGCCGGCGGCTGGGGGATCCAGCTCCTCACACGGAACCTGCAGTCTTCTTCCTGGGCTCGTCATCTGCTTTCATGAGTTGGATTGGGACCGTTCCTTCCCTGTGGTCAGATAAATGTCCTCCCGAAAACGAAGAGAGATGAAAAGGTCAAGAGAAGTGGAGAGTGCCGTGCTGAGGGGAGCACTGTGAAGGGAAGAAAGCGTAAGAGCAAATGGGGCCGCAGTCTTCTGCCTCCAACAGATGACTAGCTTGTCTCAATCTAGCCGCACTCCTCAACATTGTGAAACCACCTAAAAAACCATTACTGCTTTGCAGCAACGTAGGCCTTTTCTAAGTCTGTTCCCGAGTTGTCATGGAGATGTGCAAAATAAAAGGAGCTGGAAATTCCCAAGGGAAGAGTGAAACCCTTTTCAGATAAGGGTTGCTGAGATTTGAGAGGTGCTTTGGAATTCTAGGTGGTAGCTTCTTGCTGAATGTGTACTGGCACGAAGTCTGTTTGATCTCTCTCTGAAACCATGCCTGCGGTATAATTCCAGAATTGGTTTGTCAAGAGCCATCTGGGACTGTGTGCTTTTAGCCAAGTAGGTCTCTATGTTGATTTTAAGCAAAAGTGCAACCATCTATTAACGCGTCACCAAACACAAAGTACCAAAGATAACAGCAGCTCGTTGCTAAACTTATTTCTCTTGCTTTTGGTTAATTGCAGCTATGTGCGAGTCTGGAAGTTTTGCGGCATCACGTTCTAGACGTGAGAAGAAGTCTAGAAGAGGCCAGCAAGCAGCACTGGAACGTCTGAAAAAAGCCAAAGCCGGTGAAAAAATAAAATATGAGGTGAAAATTCCTCATCTTTTCTTTTTCATAAAAAATGAATGTGAGCCGAAATGTTTAACTACCCTTTATACGTATCTAAAAGTTATGGAAATGAAATCTGCCTTTCAGATCACCTTTTGTTTTGTAATGGTGTATGTTTTTCAGAATGTAATTGTTTTGCTGCTTTCTGGTATTATTTGTTTGTTTTTCTTCTGTTTGGAAAGCTAAACCAGTTTTGTTAACTGCAAGTCAAACATGCATGATATTGCTTGATAACCGTCCCACAGGGAAGGGCCAAGTTTTAAAATTTAATTGCGTGATTAATGTTATGATAGGAAGTACTTTTTTTTTTTAACTTCAAATGAATTTAAACTTTAAGTGAATTTCAAAGCTTTACATGACCAAAATCCATGAATATTGATATGCTATGTTTCCACAACGAAATAAAAATTTAGGTGTTCAACTGATAGAACTGAAATCTGGCAGTGCAACATTGCTACTGTCCAATTAAGTATAATGCCAGCAGGAAGTGACTTCCACACTGAGGTGGATAAATCTAAAGAAGCCTGAAGTTCATAGATCATTGACATGCAAATTTACTCTGAGGCACAGAAGAGCATCTTCAGCATTATGCGTGGGCACATGAAATCACCTTCCTTCTCACTGAGCTCATCTTGGTGTTTGAGAGTAGAGCCAAAGGTTAGAAGTCTCCATTGCTAGGATTTTTTTGGTTTTTTGTGATACGAAATGAGCCATAAAGCAAGTCAGTTTCAAATGAAGTCTCTTGACAGTGCTTCAGCAGATTTTGAGTTTCAGTATACTGTGATAATTTTGAAAATTGATAACTTGTCGTTTGTCACTGCCAAAAAAGAAACTTAACCTGAATGAGTAACTGTACCTGCGCTTACTACTTGCGAGCAGCGTAACAGTGTAGGAAACTATGCATTTCTTGGGAACTTTTATGTTCTTAGTGATGACCTATATTGATGAGTAATGGTATGCGAACTGTTAATCCTCAGTATACCTTAACTGTAGGTTGAGGAGTTCACAGGTGTTTATGATGAAATAGATGAGGAAGAGTACTCCAAGATGGTCAGAGAACGTCAGGATGATGACTGGATTGTTGATGATGGTAAGTTAAGATTCATTTGGAGAGTTACTTTGATTATAGTATTATATGCTCAATTAGGCTTCATCACGTTCATGATTTGAGCTAAGTTCTAGTTAGTATGTTCTTACAGATTGTTTTGGAAGACAAGAAAAAGATGAGCTTTTATATGGAAATTAATCTTTTGCGTTGTTCTCATAGCAGTGTATTAGGATGGTAATGAAAATGTTTTTCCATTAAGAAGTGTTTTTGAAATTTTATTTCCAGTTATCAGTGATGTAAGTTTAAAAAGAAGTACTGTAATTGATAATTTCTAGTTAGGCAAATAATAATATATTTAGTCTAATGGAAGATACAACTGAGAGTACTGTAGTTTTTAACACTTTTGCATTTATAACTTTTGCTCTATATTAGAGAGGAAAAAGTGTTTAAATATGTAAAACTTTTGATTAGGAATATATAGAAATATGAGAAGACAGAATTTAAAATTAAATTTTTAACAATTTGTTTTTCTACAGATGGGATAGGTTATGTAGAAGATGGAAGGGAAATCTTTGATGAAGATCTGGATGATGATGCTCTTGGTTCCAATAAGAAAGGTAGGCTGAACGTGACCACTGTAGAATGTTTTCCAGTGGCTTTTAAAAGGTACCTAAAATGGGCAACTTCCTGGTGTTGGTGTGTGGTGAATATGGCCAAATGACACGTTACTTGGAGCTCTGTAGTTCTATGCCTGTGACTGTGGATTTTGTTTAGCCCCCGTGATGCATAAGATAAGAGGTCCACAAATTGAGGTCAAATCACTGTTAACAACTTCAGCGCTACCGGGGCAATTTTGCTTACAGTCTTCTGTGGGATATATATTCAGTTCTAGAACAAATACATCTAGGAATGATCTTAGTTTCCAAGGCCAGCGTCTAAAGGATGTGTGGTGTCTCTTGCCACTAAAATACTTGCATCCTTTTGAGGATCTGGGATCAAATGATTTTGCCAGCTTCTATGAAGTTGGTGGCAAGCTGAGAAATTGAGTCTGATGTTGAGAATCCAAGCCTAGTGCCAAACTCCTGGACACTCGTTTATTTTTTTTTTTTCTGGAGATGCTTCCATTTAAACTATCTTGATCCTTTTTCTGGAGTATGAACTTGACTATGCAAAGAGCATCTCTGATGTGACTAGGAAAGACAGGGTGCTGATAGGGTTTTGCTTTCTTTTGTGTGTGCATGACAGCTGTTACAGAGCTGGCAGCAAATGAAAGATGATTAGGCTTCATTTCAGCCAGCAGTGTGAAGGTGGAACAAGTAGACTACCTCAGCTGTCTATTCCTGCAAATAACTGGACCCTTAAACATTGAGCTTTTCCGGTGTAGAATTCACAATTTTATATTTTTCTGTAGGAAAAGGTGGCAAAACATCTACGGTTGATAAAAAGAACGTGAAAAAGTCTGTGGTGTCAAAGCCAAACACAATTAAGTCCATGTTTTTAGCCAGTGCTGGGAAGAAAAACACAGATGTAAGTTTTTACATTTTTGAATTTAAAGATTTCTGACTTGTTTGCGGTGTTTTAGTGGGAGTGGAATAAAGCAAGGGCTCGTTTCAGTTTCTTGTGTCTAGCAAGACATAAACTCCTATTACCATCTCTCGTGAATCGAGCATTCCGGAAAATGTTGTGTGTGTTGTGTAGAAACCCTTTGGTCATTTGCTGATGGTCTCCTGATTGGGTTTGCACATATAGAATCATAGAATGCTTTGGGTTGGAAGGGACCTTTAAGGGTCATCTGGTCCTACTCTCCTGCAATGAGCAGAGACATCTTCAACTCGATCAGGTTGCTCAGAGCCCCATCCCATAACTAAGTGTTAGATTATATTAGAACTAATTACATTATAACTTAATTATATTGTGAATAAGAACTGTTTGGCTAATCTGTTATTTTACAGAAAACTGTGGACCTGTCAAAGGATGATTTACTAGGGGATATTCTTCAAGATCTTAATGCTGAAGTAAGTATATTAATAAAATCTGCTTGGAATGCCTTAGTCCATTCATTTTTCTTGCCATGGAACATATGAAGAAAAAAAAGTCCTTCATAAACCCAGACCATCTAAGATTGATTTCTTCCACAGTACATCTACTGGATATATTCCACGTATGTATGCGACCTACCCATCATCTCCACCATGCAGAAGTTGCACGACTGTTTTGGTTTGACAAGCCAGAACTACTATGTCCTGATTAGAGATGGGTTATATTAATGTGATGTGAAGCCTGTGCTAATGCAACCTTCTAGGTTTTAATCAGCTTGGATTGAAACAGGACTTACTGGCATCTGAATCATGTATATCATATATGTGTATCGCCACACTCCAGCCAGTATGGTGCAGGATATTTCCACCTGGTGTCTTTGGGTTTACGAGGGGAGCTGAGGGCGGACTGTTTCAGCAGATGAGGTTGCCTGAACTTCTGTCTGCCTCCTCCTGCTTTCCACAGTTTGCTGCAGAGAACCAGATTAATGCTTCCTCTGAGTTAGGAGTGGAGGACTGGACTGTCTCAAATGAGGCTGTTCCTCATCATTAATGGCTCTTCAATGAGTTAATGCCCCTTAGCAGGATTGCTTAAAATTGAGAGGATTGCTCTCCTATAAACTGTGAAACTGGTGTAGTGGTGAGATACTGAACTGAAATGTTGTGTCATAATAAGCATAATGTGTTTTCACAGAGCAGTAAGAGGGGTATAGATGTTCCAATATAAAGTTGTTCTCTTGGTTTTGTGTGCTTACTATTTTAGTCCTCCCTATGATGTCTGATTGAGAGTTATAATATCTTAGGCTATCAAAACCCCTCACATCATTAAGCAAATGCATTTTAATGCTGTAAAATTTTGTGGAGCATTGATTAGAGAAAATAATGCTAATAGTTACTCTATAGCTTCTATTTACTTAAATAGTAGTTAGCTATTTTTTTTTTACTTTGTTTTCTAAAATTTCTTTTGTTATTAGCTGTTGATAAGGATAAAATATCTCCGCATGTAAATAAACTAAAATGGGTTTTCCTCTAGTGGGGCAGTGCTGACAGAGCACTTCAGCCTTTCTTAAGGCATGCGTGCTCAGTACTACTGTTTCACCAGACATGAAGAACATCCCACAAGTTATTCTGATACTTGTGCATTTAAGGCATGGTTAGCTATTGACATGCCCACTGTTTGAAAGCTATTTCACTTATTGATGGCAATTTTTCTCTCAAACTGTTTACCAAAAAAATCTAGTGTCTGTCTTCATGCGCTGATTGCTCAGACAACTTTTTGTTTTTATGCGGCTGAGTTGTATGTCAGGAGGTGTGTTTTGGCAAATGAGAAATGCTGGTGGTTTTCTTCTCTTTGATGGAAAACCTTACTAACCAAGGGAAAAGAAAACACTAAACAACACCTCTTCATTTTGTCACTTTCTCTTTTCTTTCAATATTCAGGCTGTTCAGCTAAGTCCGCCACCAGTTATAATGTTGAAAAGGAAAAGATCTGCTGGAGTACCACTGAATCCTTTCTCCGTGCAGTCCCAGACTCCTAAGGTAAAGGAAAAAAAATCAAAATAAGTTCTCATTGATAAGTATTAATCTGTATTTTGGTTGTTTTGAATACTGCTTTTTATTTCTGCTTCTAGAAATTACCTTTCTTGTTAGCTTCCTTAGCAATGTTACTATGTCACTTCATGCACTTTTCCTCTTACGCTTCCATGTTAATACATCAACAGAATATAACTCTCTTTGTATTTTTAGCATAGTAGTAGTATGTAGCTGTTACATTCGACAGGTGAAACTGTTTTTATGATGTTAGGTGCATCACATGAAGGTGAGCTGCTGCTTTGTCTCTTTTCCTGAGAGTAGAAAAGACCCTTATGGCAAGGAAAGGATGATGGGAAGTGAAATAAGCAGAAGAAAGAGTATTTGTGGGTGTGGAAAAGGATAAGAAAATCATCTTCTGCAGAAATGGAAAGCAAATGGAAAACTGAAGCTGTGGATAGAAGTTTACCCTAGTGGAAGATTTTGGAGTGAAAGGAGGGACGGGCTGCTAAGGATGGAAGGCTAGAATTTTGTTAAGAGTTCTGGTAAATGAGAAGGACTTCATAGCTGGAAATAAAATGAGATATTTGGTAAGAGTCTGTAGAGGGCAAATGGAGTAGCGTAGATAAATCTGATTTGTGAAATGTTGTGTAATAGTGGCATCAACTCTTACGTTGAAAGTAATCACCAGTGGCACTCACTTCAACAGTAGTGTTGGAGCCTGGAAGCAATTGAAAAAGAAAAAAGGGGGAGATGTAGTAAGAGAGGATCTTTGCCTTTATGGTGAAAAACAGTGGTCACTTTCATAGGAAACATTGAGAAAGAAATTAGTTGCCAGACAGACTGCTCAGGTGATAGCTTCTGTGGGCCTAGGAGGAGGAATTGGAGATTTTAGACAATGAAACAGAGGAAGAGGATGAAGAATACAGCCTTAGGAAATAAATGGGCATAAAAAGCGAGACGGCAGTGATGCTTTCTATTTCAGGAGACGAGCAGAAATACAAGTATGAATAAATTCATTTGGCTGAGCTAGCAACAAATTGTTGGTGAAGGTAGATTTGAGTAATATTTGCTTTGTGTTTAAGGTGAGTGAAGGGCTGAGTTTGGTGTTGGCCACAGTAGAAGTAGCTGAACTGAGATTAAAACCCTGGAAATGATTGCGTGCAACTCTAAATTCTACGCCTGTAAATAACAGCTTTCCCCAAAGAGACCTGTTGTTGGTCATGGTGGAGGCCACTTCATACACATCTTCTGTAAGAAGAGGTTCTGTAGCTGCTGCCATAGCTGTATCCTGTCTGAAAAACAAACTCTGTGCTTATTGCCTCAGAGTTTAGGCTTGCAGAGCATGCTGAAATGCAGTTTCTTTGTTTTCCATGCTCTCCCTGTCATGTCTGTAGCATAAAGAAATCCAACGGAGAAGCACTCTGCTCTCTAGACCCATGGTGTCCTGTAGACATCTTGAACTCATTACTGATACGAGCAGATGTAAACTGCTGTATTGGCCTTCCCCGGTTGTTCCAGGTTTGTCCCTACGTGACGTATATTGTCACATACTCAGTTGACACAGGTGGAGGTTTTAATTTAGGAATGGAGTAATGCTATGTGGGAAAAATAGTGAAAGGAACCACAAACTTAAATAAATGTCAGCTGTGGCCTGTTGTAAACTGCTTTTTAAAATTATAGTAGAAATACATCACAGCAGAAATGATGGTGTAGAATTTAAAGTTTACTCTTGAGGAGTTTTAGCTATTATGCTGCAAAATATGCATGCAAAATAGAGTGTAGCCTTGGTTACTAGTTCAGCAAATAGCAAGTGCTAGATTTTTTTTTTCCTTTTTTGCTCTTAAGAGATTTATTATTTTTTTTTTTTTTTTAATTCATGGCTGAAATGTCTTTCAGGTAATCACCCCTATATCAAAGAAAGCTCCTGCTCATCTCAGAAAGGAAACTCTTCCTCCAGCTTCATTTCATCCTAAACATCCCAATTACACAGCAAAATCTGTCATAGTCTCTGAAAATGAGGATACCAAGTATGTGCAAAAAACTACAGAAAATGTGGGAATAGTGAAGACAGTAAGAGAGAAAGCTATTGAAGGTATCAAAAAGAAATTAAAACCCAGTTCTGGAAACTCTTTAAATACAGCATATTAGTATTAAAACACTTCTTAGGTTATACTAGTTACATGCTTAATAGCTTAAATGTGATATTTTGTTTGTATATTAATACTGTATATTACGTTCATGCACGTAGTATGCTATCTACGCATACTGCTGTAGTACACAGTGTGTCATTTTAATGATTCAAGCCTTTAGTTCTATGTGCAACACTTCCAGATGATGATCAGGGAATGATGGATTTTGAGGAGGAGGACTTTGATGAACCTATGGAAGCAGAACATGTGGAAACTATACCTGAGGCAGCTGAAAGCTTGAAGAGAGACAACGAAATTGAAAAGAAAGACAGTGAGCAGCTGGAATCACAGAAGAAAGATACATCTGTCTTGTAAGAATCTGTTTGGTTTTTTTTTTCTTCCACCAAGAAGCCTTTCAGTATCCGTAAACCTTAGATCTTCATATTTGTCTTTGCCAATGGGATCGTTGTGGTACAGACAAAATGATGATAATGCTATGTGATGGGTTTTTTTTGTAGTGATGTTAATGTTGAACATGCTGATAGCTACTTAATTGAAAAATAGTTGATGTTGTGGAGGTTCAGCACATGACAACGTAACACCTATTTCAGTACGTTGAGGTGACTCAATGTGGTTGTTGAACAATGAACTTTGATGCCAGTAAGCAAAAATGAGGAATTGCTAACGATGCTTATTCTAAGCAACTATGAAGGCATTTCATAACGTTAGTTGTAGTTAAAAGTATTGTCACTAAAATTAATTTCACACGGTAAACAGCTATCTCTTTGGAAATAGGAAAAAAGGGTTTTTTCCCTGTTTGGTGTGGTGGTTTTTTTTTTTTTTTGATTGTTTGGAAGAATCTTGAATCATATGTTTTCATAAGTTTAAACTGTAAAATATTTGAATGATGAAAAAGACTTGAACATTTAATGACTGAAAAGGTAGTTTTGTTGAAATGAATCTGTTGTTCCCACTGAGCAACTTGTACAGATGGATGGATATATTTGTCACTTGAAGGCTTGAATGACCAAGGCTGAAATACCAGGTGAATGATTTTTAAAGCTTGTGTTGTGTATAGAGAACCATACTTGTATGTGGGTTTCTGTCTTTGTCACTCCATCCTTCTTTTCAGAAGGAATCTGAGGAAACCCAACTGTTGGGAATGTTGCTTGGTAGTGGAAAGAGCAACAAAAGATGTGACAACACAGGGCTGAAAAAAAGCAAAATAATGGTGGTTATAGCAAAGGCACATTCTTACTTCTTGTTTCTTTCTTTCTTCTGCAAAATCTGCAGAAGTTCTTCTCTCCCAGGCATCTCATGTTGGGATGGAATTGATGAGGACGAAGTTGATCTAGCAATGGCGGAAGTTCAGCTGGACCCCAATCTCCTTCCACTTGTGAATGGGGAAAATGATGATCAAGTCTTAAGGTTTTATTGGCTAGATGCTTACGAAGATCAGTACAGTCAGCCAGGTAACTGTTCAGTTAAAGGCAGAAAATGCCATTCTGATTGTTTTTATGTAACTGGGATCAGACTTACCTAAATTATGTCTGAATACCCTGTCTCTTTGTGCTCTACAACTCGTACATTCATCTCTTGTTTTTGCACACCTCTGTCCTCAGCGCAGGGCACTATGACCGGCATAAGTAAGAATGTCATCTCTTGGTCTAGTGTAGTAGTAAGGAGGTACAAAGGGAGCTACTAGCACTTCTCAATGTTGGTGACACATTGTCCTTCTTAAAACCCTGTACACCCCAGGAATAAGCTGGTGGTGTTAATTTCTTACTCAGTGGTGCAACAATTCAACATGCTTTCTTCTTGTTTCTGGAAATGTGACTTAAAATTCTGGTGGATTGTTAGAAAGCTATGCAATAGCAGTTGCATGATTTTATGTCTATCAAGGGAGGAAGTTGGCCTGAAAAATACAAGGTCTATCTAGATCCCTTTATTCAAACTGTCTAAATCTTGAAGATTGTCTTTGGATTAAGATCCCTAAGATACTTTGTGCAGTTGAAGTGTGAATCCTAGCTCTCATCGTCTTCAAAACTGTGGCATTCTGATCTCAGCCCTGACAAAAGAAGTCATGTTCACATCTGTTCTAAGCACTTCCTATCTGTCCTCTCATTTCAGCAGCGGCTTTAGGATCTCGGGTTTCTAATTTGTGCCTCATGTAGGTTTAGCGGAAGGTTCTTCCATATGTTGTTGAAGGTTTTTTGAGTTGATGCTGTAAGCATTGAGTCAGATATGTTTCTTTGTTACACCTTTTATTGTGAGTTGGGGTGCCACACTTAAATAGGAGACTGTGCTGGGCTGAACAGCTCGATGATGGGAGTGGTAATAATCATAGATATCTTGATGAAATCAATGGCTCTAATATAAAATTGCTACTTTTAAAGACCCCACTATTGTTCTTTTTCCTTTTTTTTGTCTTCTAAGTCAGTGGTTGCTGAATGGAACATAATTATGAAAGGATTTCTGTTCCACGCATGCAAGGAGTGTTCTTTTCTCATTATGACTTTTTCAGGATTGAATAATAAAGACTGCACCTGTTTTCAATTAGTAATGTAGAAGGGAAAATTTTGATACTGCTTTTTGTTTAATATGTTCATGATCTTTGTTTATGCCTCATTTGCTGTGATGTCAAATGCATTGCCTAAAGAGTAAATACTATAGCATAATCATAAGGCCCTTTCAAACTTACTGATTTTTTGGAGGCTTACTTTTCATAACTTCCTTTACTATCTTAGGCAGAGAACTCGAGAATTGTAATCCTATTAACATTTTAAAGAAATATTGAATAAAACCTGCCCTTTCTTTCCCCTCTGCAAGGCATTTTCCCCGTCTCTTGACTTTTGCTTGCCTTTTGGCTCATTGGTAGCATGATCTTTCTTTTCACAGACTTTGCATTTTATAAGCTTTAGTCCTGTTTGTTTTTTTTCTTTCTTCTTTCCATAATCAGGCTTACAGATATATAGGGCCCGATATCTCGTATCTCATTTCTTGTTTTTACATATGAAATGTCTCTGAAAACTCTTTGAAGTTAGCCCTGCTTTTTGTGTGTGTGTGTGTGTGCGTGGAGTGTGAGGGTGTGTTCGACTAGGTGACCTCCAAAGGTTCCTTCCATCCTAAATTAATCTGGGGATTAAGACCACTTATTTGTCCATGCTAGAGTTGATTGAAGTTTTTTTTTGCAATCCAGGCAGGCTTTTACTCTGTCTTTGGCTCATATCCTTCTTTCTACCTCACCTGCTTGTACGACCCTCTGACAGGTTAACTTCTCCATGCCTTTAAGATTGCCAGCTGTTCAGGCAACCAACTCTTGTTTTGTGGTCTCTCCCATAGCTTCATCTGTCTGTATGATATAAACCTATCCTGTGTTTTTTATCCCTTTTAAAAAAAAAAAAGAAGATTGCTGGGGACAAGAACTTCATCTTTCCTGTCACTTAGATCTGTAATTTGAGCTCTTTCTAGATCCTTTTATTCAAACTGTCTAAATCTTGAAGATTGCCTCTGTATTAAAATCTCTAAGATACTTTGTGCAGCTGAAGCTTGTATCCTTGCTCTCATCATCCTCAAAACTGCAGCATTCTCTGTCCTTGACAAAAGTAGTCTTGTTCACATCTATTCCAAGCACTCAAGAAATGATTTTTCTTAGCCTGAGCCTGTCACTCTAACTCTGTCATCCATCTTAGTGCATCTTAGCTGATTTATCTTTGATCTAATGGAGTAAGAAAGGTGCCTTTACATCTGATAGGTCGTGTGGCAAAGATGAATGATAACTCTTGACCAAGGACTTGTTTGTGCCTTGTCAGACCAAAGAGAAATGCAGGTTCCAAAATCTTCTTTATGTGAAACACTGTTTCTGAGACAGTCTCCGCTGTGATATTTCTGATTTCAGTAGTGGTAGTGTGCTGTAGGAAGAGTGTCTTTCATGTAATGAAATTCCAAGTTATTTGGAGTTTGAAGGGAACTTGGGTGAAGCCAGGTTTTTGAGTTGTACTTTATTTTACTTGTAATCCACAAGCTGTACATGAAGGTCAGGTGGCTTCGTTCTGTGTTATTTCAAAGTTTAGCATAATTTGATTAGCAGTTTGCAGTGTTTTATGCTAATGCTAAGGTCTCTGGGGCTCCGCGATGTGCGTGTACAACAGTGATGTGGTCCACAGTGAAGTCGGTTGTGCTAGTCCTGCTCTATAGGCTTGCTGAATGTCTACCTTGGTTACAACTGCTGTCTTAGCATCCAGGATTTCTTGCGATGTCATGTGTCTTTCAGTGTCCTTATTTGTTAAAAATAGTCAGTCGAAAACTTTTTGCAGTTGATCAGTTTGTAGTTGTCTTCAGAATGTATTTCTACAGGTTTTGTTAGGAGTAAAGTCTTGATCTCGTGGTACTAAAGTGGGAGGAAAAATGAGTTAATTGTACCGGTCTAGCTAAAGAAGGAAAAATAGTAGATGACACGTTTCAAGAGTGATTGACAGCACAGGCATTCTGATTATCTTCAGCTTTCACTGACTTCTCTCTCCTTCCTCCCTCTCCCCATGAATTATCAAACTAATGTAGGTAGAAATGGAATATCGGAACAGAATTCTGAGAGTGGCTGTGTGATGCCATTTTGAATTTCATGTACCAAAGTGTTACAATAGTGATGGAGGTAGGGACATGAAGAACTATACAGGCATCTATTTGTGAAGCTGGTGTTTAAAACAATTTAGAATGTGCTGATACATTGGAAAGATTTGTCGTTCAAGGACCTGAACCAGAAATGGTTGTTTCTATGCAGGAATACATAAGAAGTTGCTTTAAGCAACGTTAAGAATGATTACTTAAAGCATTGCGTATTGAATTCTTTGCTCTGCCCTTCTTCCTTAGGCGTGGTATTCTTGTTTGGCAAAGTTTGGATTGAATCTGCAAATACTTATGTCAGCTGTTGTGTGACAGTGAAAAATATTGAGAGAACTGTGTATCTACTGCCACGTGAAACAGTAAGTGTATCTTTTAAGCATGTCAAACATAAGTACCTTTCATTCTGCTTATGGCAGGTTATGAGTTCTAGTAGTGTGTTTGGGGGAACTGTTGAAGCCAGTGTTAAAGTGGTAAAGTTAAGTACAGTGTATACGCTGTGTATCACGTGAGATGCAGAGTCGAGCGTTGCAGCTTTCCCCTGACCCTAACTAACAACTGCAGACAAACTGTTACCTTTAGACTTGCTGCTTAGGAAGTAAAGTTGTCTTGAAGCATTATTAGAAAACTTAGTGCTTTTTAAACACTCTGTTTCAAATAATATTTTTTAAATTCGAGTTTTCTTGGCTGGTTGCACTGTAGTTTTCCCTTAAAGAACAGATACGTGATTTGTAATAGCAAAGCAAAATTCAGCTTATGGTCATGTCTGCTGGCATTTTTTGTTAATTTGTAAAACCTGACTTCTGTGTTTGAGGAAATCGACCTATCCATTGGCAAAGAGACGGAGACTCCGGTAACTATAATGAGTGTTTTCAAGGAATTTAATGACTGTATTTCACCGAAGTACAAGATCATGAAGTTCAAATCCAAGGTTGGTCTAGAACCATGCTATTTGGTCATTTTCTCTTGTGCTGGTTTGTAAGGTGGGAAGTCTCTTGAAACACCGTCCGGGGGGAGGTTATGCTGAGATGCAAATACGTAACTCCTGACATGTGTAAGTGTACCTGCTTGTAAAAGCCATCCCAGTGGCTTCCCAAATACCCATAGTGCTTTAAGAGCAGTAAATCTGCAACATGGTTGTTCCACCAGAAGTTTAAACATAATGCCTTTGAATATACTCGTTCGTTGGCTCCCTTGAGCTGGATTGAATGTCAGACTGTCTCTCTTGCTTGCTGAGCTGTTTTTGAGAATACAGAACAGGTAGTTCTGATACGTAAAGCCTGGGTATCAGCTCATGGTGTCAAAGTTTAAAATGAAAGATTGTGTTGTCCAGCAGATAGGTCAATACACTGGGATTAGGCCATCTTTGCATTTGGCCAAGTGTTGTATTGAACTTTGTCTCTTGGCATATCTCATCCTCCTCCTCACCCCTGCAGTTTTATCTTTTTAGAATGTGTGTTGTTTGGAGCATGTATTGTCATAGTGCGTTTACACAGGAGGTAACAAGTTGTGAGGACTGTCATCCCATCTTGAAGCTGTTCTGGGCTTACAGTTACGGGCAATAGTCTTACAATAGTCTTATTTTGCTGTCTTCTGTTTGCTCAACAAATCCTTAAAAGAATACTGGAAAAACAGAATGTTGCTATAGTGGAAAATTTGCATATACAGTAATGTAATACTTGTCATAAGTCTGCAGGAGAAGAGCTGACAGTGTTGCAGATTTGGACTGACTTAGTTTGCTAGGGTGAGAAAGCTTTCTTGTTCAGTTTACATGTTCATTTAGAGCATTTCTCTTTTGGCAGGGGCGGGCAGAGGTGGGGAGTTGGTATGGGCAAAGGTGGCTAACATTCAAGTTCGAGGAAAAGATTTGTTCAGAGTGCTCAGAAACTTCTCCGTTTCTTGAAGTAGCATGTCTTTAGTCTGGCAGAGCTGGCTTTCATTGTAATTACTGGGTGATGTGGAATTAGTGGTAACTTTTCCCAGGCTGGCAGTATTGTGACTTTGTAGGATTCATTCCTGAATAGTTGATCAGGAAATGGGATGGCAAGTAAAAACGCAGGAAGAATGGAATTTAACAATATGTAAAAGAGGGAAAATAAAAAAAAGTTCGTAAGGTAATTCAGGTTGGAAAGACCCTCAGGAGGTCATCTGATCCAAAGCTGGAGTACTTCACAAAGTTTAAGCTGTTAAAGTGAAAATGTGAGCAGTGTTTCTCAGATGGCAAATTCATGCAAGACATGACAGCTTTTCATCAACATGTAGCTTAGTGCATTGTTTACATTATTCAGGGAAAATGCACGTGTCATTAGTACTTTGTAAAACTTTTTTTTTGTTCTAGCTTATTTTCTCTCTCAAAACTCTGATGCAAATTTAGCTTTTTCAGTTTTCTCAGTGTGATTTCTCTTGTTTATAACTTAGTTGTTACGTATGAGGATTGGAAAAAATTTAACAATAGGTAAAAAAACAGTTTGTAATAGCTGACTGTTCAAAGACCCTGTGAGGAATGAGGGAGGAAACTCATGGCAAATCAGTTCTTCCGTAAAAAAGAGGATACAAACACTTGTACTCCAGAAATGGAAGGAGGGGGAAAGGCCTTTGAAAAGATGCAGATCTGCTAACAGAATCTTAGGAAACTTCCACCTGTTCTGTGTTATGCTAAGGAAGAATAGTGTGAGTGAGGTAGTGGAGTAATATAATTTAACCTTCAAAGATAGCTTTTAAAACCAAGATAAACCATATGTGCAGATCTGCTAACAGAATCTTAGGAAACCTCCACCTGTACCTGTTCTGTGTTATGCTAACGAAGAATAGTGTGAGTGAGGTAGCAGAGTAATATAATTTAACCTTCAAAGATGGCTTTTAAAAATCAAGGTAAACCATATATAGGAAGTACTTGAACTGTTATTTCTGATATTAATTCAGAGTTTATCAAATTTTTACTGAGTTTACACAGAGCTTGGGCTGAAGGACCCAACTGTCTTGTCTGAACACATGACTCCAGTGCATCTGGGGTCCTTGGGTGTAACGCAGGAGTAGGGAAGTAGCAGCCCGAAGGCACTGTGCAGATCTTACCTAGAATATTATAACGCTTGATCAGCCTGATGAGGAAAGATTAACTCAGGTGACAACAGGTACAAAAGATGGTAATTAGAAGGATGAGACAAAAGGAGAATCAGTTATACCAGAGATAACTGTGAAAGAGCTTTAATTTTTTTTTTTAGCCTAGTAAAGTGAAGAATAATGATAAGACCTTTTTGCTCTCTAAAAACATTAAAAGGGAATGAGCAGCAAGAAAGCTATTTCAAGGACAGTTTTAGCAGAAGAACAAATTTATAAATTTTAATTCATGAATAAATTAGGCAGGATAGTTGGGGGTGCAGAGGAGCTCTGGAATAACCTACCAGAATTGTTTCGGACAATAAGAATTCAAATTCTGTTTGAATTCATCAGACTCTTCAGTAAACTGAATTTTACTAACATGGTAAAAGGCTTTCCAGCTTTATTTTGCTGGCATAATTTTCTGCTGATTTTGATAGCTACTGCCTCCTGGAATGGTTTAATGAGAACTGGGGCCTAACAGGAGGGTATGGCCCTAGTAACGTGGGGGATAAGAGAAAAGAGAGGATTGGAGAGCAGGGCGGTTGGTGGGGCCTTTGGAGGACTGTTCAAGGAAAGTATTAAGGTTACTCGGCTATTCCAGTTTAACACAAAATTGTCTGTGAACAAGTGGCACCAGATCTGGCCAGGCTTATGTCTCTGTAGCAGGGGGTCCTTTTGCTGCCTGCAGGGTAATTGTGGAAGCAGTGGGGTTGTCCCATTACTGCACCCTCCTTTTTTTTTGTTCCTCTCTGAGACACCTCCATTTGCCTGGTTATATACCTTATTGATCTGTTTTTTGTAAGGAGTCATCATCTTTCTTTTCATTGCAGTCATACCGCTAGAGATGTTGTGTTGTTACACAGCCCTTGCATCTGTGGTTCCGTAGGGGTGTGCAGGGCTCTCCAGTGGAAATGGTGGTGGCACTCACTGAGTGAATGCTCCAAAAAAGGGATCTCCACACAGTTGTGACTGTATGTGGTGAAGAACTAATATGCTTTAGAAGAACTCCACTGTTCTCTGACGGCAGCCAGTGTTCCACTACTGTGGTGTTAACGGTTGGTGTTTTGAAAGACTATTTATGTATGTATGTATGTATGTATGTATTTTTACAAGGCTAATGGCAATATTGCTCAACACGAAGTCTCAGTTTTGGCATAGTACTGTGAAACTGAGAAACTCTCGTTCTTCCATCATTAGCTGGAAATCGGAAAGATTCCTAGCATACCTGCCAAAGTTCTTGTATTCAGAAGACCCAGTTTGTGATGATGCGGAGAGCGCCGGTATTTATACGCTGAGACAAGTTGTTCTCTGTGTGCGTAAGCGCGTGCATCTCGGCCTTGCCACCACCGAACTTTGTCCCTGCGAACAGCTACACTTAAGCCATGTCATTTCCTCCTGCACCTGCTGCTAATTGTCGCTTCAGTGGGTTGCACTGCTGCCAAGTTAGCAAGTCTTCACAAATCAATTTGAAAGCAGCCTTACTCCACTTAGGAACTTAGCAGCTAATCACTGCTGCTCATTTCTGCTCTCTGAAGGGCCACTTGAAGGGCAGATTACTCTGCAGCAAAGCATTCATTCACTGCAGTTATGACCAGACGCTTGTGTAATTGAGCTGAGCTCTGTGGAATAACGCAGATGAATCACCGCAGCATACTATTTTTACACTATGTTCAGCTTGCGTTTGCAACAAGAACTTGTTTGAAGCTTGAGAGAGTTTTTTTAATTAAAAAAAAAAAAAAGGAGTTGGGACACCAGTAATATGTGCTAAAATCAGTGCTTTGCCATCTGGTATGTTACAGCTACGATGTGCTGCTCGGGTGAGGTGCTGCTTTGGCTCAACAGTTCAGATCTACATTTGTATGCTAACGTGTGATGCTGTTCTGACTTCATAGTGGTGCTCTCGTACCAAGTTGTGTTACTCTCTTCTGCTTCCATGTAGCTGTTGATGCCGTAGTTGCTTCTGGATTTGCCGCCTTCCTGTTTGTAGCAGAGGGCCCTCTCCTCTCCTACCCAGGCTTTGCAGCCTCAAAACTGCAGCGTTACCAGAAGGAGCAAGCCTAACTGCTCATGGTAGTGCTCTGGGGGAGCTATTGCTGGTGCTGTTAAGTTAAGGAAAAAAAACAACCACTCAACCCCAAAACCAGACAACTTCACGTTTACCTAACTGTGCATGTATTTTGCTTCTTTGTAAATTCTATTACAATTTATGGTGACTTTGCTTTTACTTATTAAACTTACTGACTCCATGTGTAATGTGCTGCACTTAGTGCACTGCCAGTGAAAATAGGCTTTTTAATTTAAGGGGCCTCTAGGAATTCTTATGGTAAGAGTAATGTTCCAGCATGGTTATGGTATAACATAATAACAGTAATATATAACAGTGGTGCAGATGGTTTGTGAAATATTACAGGGCAGAGCATGCATATTACAGGGCAGAGCATGGCATTTCAGCGGGTACCCTAGCGTTCTTGCCCAGGATATGGTAATTATTTGGGAAATGAAGGTGGTTATTCTTAGAAACTGACAAGCTGCGCGTGTTGCAGAAAGTCATTATTGTGCTTGAGGAAAGCAGAAGTGATACTTAACTTTCAGTAAAGTTGTGCTGAACTTGAGACTGCTTGAAGTGTCTTTGTTAGAGATACATAAACAAACTTGACTACTTTCTAGTAAAACCCAAGTCACTCAAAATGAAAAATACAATTCCGTCATAGGAATGATTCTCTTCTAAGCATGTAATAAAGTGAACAGCTGGCAGATGGTTGGGAAATTGGCTCTCTTGGGTGCCTCTCTGAAGTGCCGGTACGCTGAAGCATGCAGTATAAAAGGAGGAGC